TTGAGCCAATTCTTCTAAAGTTAGATCTTTCTTTTTGTGTTTCAAAGTTTTCTTAAAATCCTTCCAAGAAGATGACAGTTTCTCTATTATAGACAAAACCACAATAGATTCATCCATGCTCATATTCTTTTGTCAAAACTGACTCAGAATATGCTGGATCTCATGGAATTGTTCCATAATGGGCTTTGTATCAATCATAATAAAACGCATAAAATTACTAACATGAAATTTCTTATTGGTGGTATCCTCTGTGAGGTGCTTTGATTGTAATATGTCCTAGAGTTACTTTGTCATTTCAAGATATTGATACACATCGAACAGAGAGTCCAATAGCGCATTCAGAATGTGTCCTCCACAAATGTAGTCATCATTCTCCCATTTGGTTCTGTTACGGATTTGCTTCATAATCTCATCTTTCTTGCTCCGCTGGATAGGGGGTAGTCAATACATAGACCACTTTGAGAGTGGTGAGCAAAAAGTGCATCTTCTTTTGCCAGCGTCGAAGATTTCCTCCATCAAATCGGTCAAGCTTCATGAAATCTTGAGTCATTTTCTGAATAGACATCGCCATATCTAAATATCGTCTTTAGATTGTTAGAATAATTTGTTTTGAATTCTTCAGTTGGTGGTCTTCGAGCCTTTAACACTTGGCGATGATCATATCTATATGGAACAGAAATTTGGTACTTGAAGTCGCGTTACTTAGTCGCTTTTCTAAAGACAATATTTGCACCTACCAAAAAGGTGTGTAGGGGGTTACAACAAATTCGCCTCCAGGATACAATGAAGCCTGATCTAAAAATCAAGTCTATTGGCGTCTGCATTGACGACAGTAGATCAGAATACTCTTGATATAATCAAGAAAACCAAGACACTGATAATCAAGTCTGCAAAATTTGATTACCGTTAAGAAAATCAAAAACTTGCTTAAGAAACACTAAATCAAGAAGGAGGGAGGGAGAGAGAGAGAGAGAGAATTGCAGGAATACTTTCTCAATTTTTGGATGATTGAAATGGCTGATTTCATAGCCTATTTATAGGCCTTGATGCTTCTGATTGAATGGTCATGTTCCTTGATCGCATCCTATCAGATTTGACTGTTGACCACTTTGAGAGTGGTGAGCAAAAAGTGCATCTTCTTTTGCCAGCGTCGAAGATTTCCTCCATCAAATCGGTCAAGCTTCATGAAATCTTGAGTCATTTTCTGAATAGACATCGCCATATCTAAATATCGTCTTTAGATTGTTAGAATAATTTGTTTTGAATTCTTCAGTTGGTGGTCTTCGAGCCTTTAACACTTGGCGATGATCATATCTATATGGAACAGAAATTTGGTACTTGAAGTCGCGTTACTTAGTCGCTTTTCTAAAGACAATATTTGCACCTACCAAAAAGGTGTGTAGGGGGTTACAACAAATTCGCCTCCAGGATACAATGAAGCCTGATCTAAAAATCAAGTCTATTGGCGTCTGCATTGATGACAGTAGATCAGAATACTCTTGATATAATCAAAAAAACCAAGACACTGATAATCAAGTCTGCAAAATTTGATTACCGATAAGAAAATCAAAAACTTGCTTAAGAAACACTAAATCAAGAAGGAGGGAGGGAGAGAGAGAGAGAGAGAGAGAGAGAGAGAGAATTGTAGGAATACCTTCTCAATTTTTGGATGATTGAAATGGCTGATTTCATAGCCTATTTATAGGCCTTGATGCATCTGATTGAATGGTCATGTTCCTTGATCGCATCCTATCAGATTTGACTGTTGGATCAACGATCTATGGTGTAAATCATTTTCACACAGAACAGATGCTTTGACTGATCATACCCGATCACGATTGGGTGCCATCTCATCCATACGATCGCGCATATCTCCAATTAACGGCTATAAATCGGCGATCTATGGTATAAATCATTTTCACACAAAATAGATGCCTTGACTGATCATACCTGATCACGATTGGGTGCCATTTCATCCATACGATCGCGCATATCTCCAATCAACGGCTATAATCGGGGCTCTAGATCGGACATGTAACCATTCGATTTGTTGGTTGACTCATCGCCAACAGATGCCACATCACTGCCACATGAAGCTAATTGTATTCCATGTCACCCATGTTACATTGGATCTACGTCATCGCTCCAACTTGTCCGATATAAATAGAAAAGCGCCCTGATGGCGCCTTGCGTCTGTGCAAAGTTCAAAGTGCACCATCAAATGCCACACTGCCCAAGCTTGCGTGTGCAGATGGTACGAAGCACCATCCTTGTGGTGTGAATGCATATACACTAGCATTCATCCCACAACTTCATATTTAAAGGAATATTCCATGTAGCACTCTATTAAGTGCTCCATGTTTTTCTCTCTTTCCAATGTGGGACAAAATTCCCAAGCTTATTTCAAGTTTTCCAAAGAAAAATAAGGAAAGTTTTGAAAACACCAAAAAAACTAAACAATAAATTTTGAAAACCTATTTTGAAAATTCCCCAACAACACACACCATAATATTGCTTTTTTAGCCTAACCCAAACAGTACAATACACACCATAACACCCACAAGATGATATAAACACCATGAAAGTTGAACAGATAATAAGGTCCAAAATACAATTCACGGTAATTTTAAATTCCTGTGCCTTTCTCATCCCGATCTGGATTGAATTTATTGAAGCAACGTGAGAGTAAAAGGCGAAAACCAAATGGCGGGCTGAAATTTTATAGCGACGAAGCAATCAGTGTGGTATTCTGCAAAACTTTATACATAAAAATAGTTTTAGTATTGTTTATAAATACAATGTTAAAAACTTTAATATGTTCACAAATTTATATTCAAACTAAACCAAAATGTTCAATTTTTATATGTGAACGTCTAATACTTGTTCAACTATAATAATATGAACAAATGATTCTGTTCAAATATAAATAATTGAAAATTTTGTAAATGTTCAACTTTGCATCTGCATAGAACGAATAAGACATTGTTATAAAGATGAACAACTATATTTTGTTTCTAATCAATACGAAAAAGATAAACAATAAAGTAATTGGCATTTTTATTGCTGCTTTGTTCCAAATCAATGCCATCCATAGGATGTAAATCTTTAAAATCAATTAATTTCAATATTTTAAAACCCTAAATCTTCAAACAATAATATTTTGAGTTTGAAAAATAATAAAAAAAGAGATTTGTTCTAGGTGATGGTGTGTTAAGTGATATTTGTGTTTTTATATGTGAATTGTTGAAATGAGTATATAAACACCCATATTGTACTAAATAGTCATTTTATTTGAGTATATTATTGTTATATAAATTTAATGGTTAAATGGTATGTATTGAGAGAATTAATAAGCTTGTTTGGTTTGAATTTTCAGGATTCATTTTGCAGAACATTAAAATTTTATATTTTTTGTGTTTTTTTTATTGAACTTTATTAATATTCTAAGCAATTTTTAAAATTTTTAGATACACCTAACATAAATATATTTAAAATATATAATATTTGTGAAAAAAATCTTTAGAAAATCAGTAAAAACCAAAATGCCAAAAAAAATAAAAAAATAAAAAGAGAATTCATTACATTTTTCGTATTCTTGTGTATTTATTAATTTTTTTATAAATATTTTGCTTTTTAGATACATCTAAATAAGGTGTATTTAAAAAAGTTAAAAAATGCTTAAACTTTTAAAAATATTCATTAAAAACAAAAAAAAATACGAAAAATAAAAAATTTAATTTTCAAAAAATTAAATTCAAAAAATTAAAACCAAACACATTGATTAGTGTATAAATAGATTTACCTATTGATCTGTAAAATCATCTCTAAATAGATCACATGAAATTTTAGAAATCAAATAAATGAAATTAATAGTTTAAAAATGAGATATGAAAAAACAATAATAAATTAGCAGATAATTAATAGTGAAATAAACTCAAACACAACTCAAACATCAAACAATTTTTTTTTCTTCTAAGTGAAAAAAAATGGACAATTTCTGAACAATTAATTAAAGATTTGTATTTTGTCTTAGTTGGCCATCTTAACTTGAAAAAGTATTTGGGTTTGGTGGATTCATCTTGAACTTAGTTTTTAGAATTTATTAAGTAGAATATTTTTGTAAAAAATAAGATGATCGAATATGTGTAGTTATATGTTTAAATTATATTTATATTATAAAAAATTGATGTATATTTTTAAAATTATATTTGTCGTTTATTTTTTTAAAAAATAAATGTAATTCAAACATATAACTACACATATTTGATCGTTTTATTTTTTACAAAAATATTCTACTTAATAAATTCTAAAAACTAAGTTCAAGATGAACTTGTCATTTATTTTTTATTTTTTACAAACATATATCTATCGATATCTAATCATATAATTTTTTATATAAATATTTTACCTAACGAGTTTGAAAAAAAATATAAACGATTCAAGTTACGAAAATAAATCCCAAAATAAAACTATGAAACCTAAACATTCTCTCAAATGGGATAACAAATTACAGAGAATCCAAACCCAGTAATTAATTGTCCTACATTCTGGTATGAGTATTACAGGTGGGGCAGTCGCTGAGACGTGGAAAAGTAAACAAATAATTAATATCCAACCATCAAAAAAAAAAAAAAAAAAAAAAGAAAATCTTGGGTATGCTTGGTTTGTATTTGGGAGATGAGTTTTAAAAAAAATTTCTAAAATATTGTTTGGTTTGAGTTTTTTTCAAAAAAATTTTCAAAAACACTTTCTCTCTCTTACACATCAATCAATCACTTTTTCTCTTTTCTCTCTTCTTCTTAATCACTTTTTCTCTCACACACATCTACTTAAATTCTCTCAAAATATCAAATCACCCTAAACCTCCAAAAAAATAACTCTCCCAAAATATACAACCAAACAAATCAAAAAAAAATTTAAACTCTCTCTCTAAATTTTTTTTCAAAAACAACTCTTCTAAAAACAAACCAAACAAGCACTTATAATTCCCCACTTTAAAAGAGTCTTTCAAGTCCACCCCAAACAGACCACAGTCCCACCCACTCATCATCAACACCAAGGACATATACACCCCAAAGATTCCGTGAAATCCGGTGGTGGTTCCTGGTGGCGACTGGTGGTGCGCAACCACCCACTCTTCCATTTCCTCCTCCTCCTCCTCCACCCCCAAACCCACATAACAGATTTCAGTGACTAGTACCAGTTCTTTAGTATTTTTTTGTTTTTCTCTCTCTACAAACTTTTGGCCTTTGCCATGGATGGTAACAATAAGCCACAGAAGAAGATGAAATGGTTTGTTCCCCTAATTTTCTCTCTCCTGACATCCACACTCCTCATAATCCTCTCTCTCTTCACCTCCTCCTCCTACCCATTTCGGCGCAACCCCATCAAGGCTCCACAAACCCCATTGTTTGTCGAATCAAAGCTTCACATATCTCCCACACTGACCAATTCTATCCCGAGACTTGCTTATCTGATTTCTGGGTCTAAAGGCGATGGAGAGAGCTTGAAGAGGACTCTCAAAGCCCTTTACCATCCTCTTAACCAGTACGTTGTTCACCTAGACCTTGAGGCCTCGCCGGAGGAGAGGTTGGAGCTGGTGGATTTTGTCAACAATGAAGGCTTGTTTCAGAGAGTTGGGAATGTGAGAGTGGTGGTCAGATCCAATTTGATCACCTACAGGGGACCCACCATGGTCAGCAATACGCTCCACGCTGCCGCCATTTTGTTGAAGGAAGGCGGTGAGTGGGATTGGTTCATCAATTTGAGTGCCTCTGATTATCCATTGGTAACCCAAGATGGTATGATTTTGATATTTTGATCAATCTCTTCATTTTTGTTTCGAAATCAATTATTGGGTTTTTCTTTTTTTTAGCATTTGATTAGTTTTAGTATTTTTCAAAAGGTTGCTAAATTTGTAGTATGTGTGTATTGATTTGGTTAGTTGATTTTTGTTTATATGCTTTCTTGGGATTCTTGGTTTTCCTGATGACAAACTGGGAAGGGTTATTATTGAATTTGTTGTTTTTTTTGGGGATTCAATTGATGGCTATTAATGTGCTCCATGACCATTTTATTAACTAGTGTCGGTTCTTGTGAATGGCTAATCATTTTCCGTTGTTAATAAGCTTGGAATTGTTGTTCATTCTTTAAAAAAGTATGTATAGTTAAGAATTTACAACTATTTTATGCTTTGTTTATCAATGCCCTTAAAAAAACTCTTCAAGTTTAAGCAATTTGACTTCTTCTTGACCATTTGATTTCAACTGATGTATCTATAGTCTGAACCTGAATTGTTTCTAATTCACTAACCAGATTCAGTTTTCTCATTTTTTTCTTTTGCTGAAATTGGAAATGAAGTGAGGTAAATGCTGCATATTTACTTTTGTCTCTTTGCTTATATTAGAAAAGAAAATATATTAATGGGTATTAAAGCTGAAGAAGTCAACTTCATGACCACTTTATTGGTTATTAATTGCCTGCCTATGGTTCTAAGAAATTCAAATAATGTTTCTAAACTATAACCCGGAATTGTTTCTAGTTCAAACCAGATTTTCAGTCTTTCTCATTGTTTCTTTTTTGCTAAAATTGAAAATGAAGAGATTAAAATTCTTCATGTTTACTTTTTGATAGCTTTGTTTTGTGCTTTTTCAATTTTCTCAACAGATATGCTTCATACCTTGTCAACTATACCGAGAGACCTTAATTTCCTTGAGCATACTAGCGACATTGGCTGGAAGGAGTATGTGGCTCATCTACTTCTCTTAATTAAAAGAACTTACAAATCATTTGCAAAATTTCGTATCGTAAACTGTTTAATGCTTTATTTTTAGGCTTCCTATTTTCTCACAAAGTTCATCTCATTGTTAGATTTCAGAGAGCCAAGCCAGTTATAATAGATCCGGGTCTGTACAGCTTGCAGAAATCAGATGTATTTTGGGTCTCGGAAAAACGGAGTATACCTACTGCGTATAAGCTTTTCACAGGTAAGCAATTAATCAACTTTTGTTTTGGCTATAATTATTGTTCTTTCTAATTAGTTTGACTCGTATTCATTGCATGTTCATCCCTTTGAATAAATGCAAAAACTATCTTTCAAAAATAATCTTTTTCCGTAATTAAAGCAGCTGAATGCCTACTGTACTTGCTAAAGGAAATAGAATATCTGGGTCAGGATTATGCCCGGAAAAACTAGTCCATAGTAAATCGCTATGAAATTTAGTAACAATCTGCATTACAGGGAATTGTAGGTTACTTAGGAGTAGTATCGATAGAAAGATAAGTTAAGAGAGAATAGATTGAGATAGTTTGCTCATTTACAACGGAGACCAACAGAGACAGTAGTGAAGAGATGCAATATAGTGACAATAGATGGTAGTGTTAGGGGAAGGGATAGACCTAGATTGACGTAGACTAGTATAGTAAATAGAGATGAGAATTTTCTTAATTTGACTAACGACATGGTCTTGGATAGAGTCGAGTAGAGAAGAAAGATTCATGTAGCCGACCCGATTTGATAGGACTTAAGGTTTGGTTGGGTTTGGTTAGAGTATGCATGGTGTTGTGTAATTTAAAGCATTAAACTCTAGAATTGTACTGGGATTACTTTGTTTCTGCCTTTAGCAAGCTATTGACTCCTAGTTAAAATTCCTTTGGCCATGGCATCTTTGAAAACATAATATATCTTTTTCCAAAGCATCATGATGCAATGCGGTGCGGAAGGTGTTCGCACAAATTTTGGCGGGGATATTTTATTTACAATTTCATAATTTTATCTTTAATATTTTAATTACTTTAGTAACTTTTTTATTTGTTTTAAAGTCTACTTTAATTAGATATTTTATTAAAATTGGTTTCTTTATTTTGTTAGGATTTAGTTTATTATTTTGATTAGCGTTTTTAGCTTATAAATATTAGGAATTGTTTTGTATTATTCAGTTTTAGATTAATAAATATTGAGTGTTAGGCTAGGAAGCATAGATACGGATACGAGATACGGATACAATACGTTACGATACGGATACGGCGATATGACAAAACTTTAAAAAATAGGATACGGGTACGGCTATGATACATTTGTGAAAAATATATATTTTTTAAAATTATTAATAGTGAGTTACACATAAACTAAAGAATGTTGAAAAATCACAATGTAATTTTATAATGCAAAATATTAACCTTTAAGAATTAACTATTAATTTAAGTTAGTAGCTTGTTTACTTTTTAAATTTTCAATAGGCCTTATAAATATTTCATTTCAATATCAAGTCTAATATGTTTATATTATAATAATAGAACAATTCACAACTTATCACTGGGCTTTTTCCTTTGGCACTAGTAAAAAATGTTATATTCAAGTTTACTTATTTATTTAATATTGTTATATTCTACTATTAATCCAAACTTTGTATGTAGTTACAAGGGACATGCATGAAACAATTAGGATATGTCAATTTGACAAATTCTATTATTTAACTCACTATGTTCTTCTTATCAGAAAACTAAATAAAGTATTAGAAAAATATTCTTATATTTATCTTTACAGTTATATTATATTAGAATACTATGCAAGAAATGCTACAATTTTAATTTTGTAAAACAAGTAATACATGACTTGGAGGATCCGATACTTCAAAATTAAATATCCGATACTCCAAAATTAATGAAAAATTAATTAAGAAGTATCTGATACATTTAATAAGTATCCGATACAGATCCGCGAGTATCCAAGAAGTATTGGTATCCGATATAGATATGTCACTCTATTTGAACTATCCGTGCTTCATACATGTTAGGCTGGGTCCTTTGAGTTTATGGGTATGGCCCTTTTGCTCTTCTTTTCTTTTTCTCTCCCTATAGTCTTCTATATCAATCAGTTTCGGACAATTCAACTCTACTCTCTCTCTCTCTCTCTCAATAATTTAAGATTTTATTTTTGGCAAACAGCATCCTTTTGTGAAGAAAGCTAGCTTTAGAGAGCTCATTTTAATTGATTTCTCATTGCTTGAACTAAAAGTTCTGTTCGCATTTCCTGACATTGTTTATCAAAGCTACTTGTGAAAACAGATGAAGTAACTACCACAAACAAAACCTGGGTTCCTTTTGATGTAAAACAACTGATTAGGCATCTGAGCTGTTAAGTGCTCCCACGACAACTATATTGCTTACAACTTTTTGATAGCTGGCATTTAGTATGTTAAACTTTCATATCCAATCCATAGAAGAGAAGGAACTACCTTCCTTGCTAATCAGCTGAGTTCTATAACAATTGACTTGGCAGATTTACCCAGATATACGTATTTATGCTGCTATTTATGGATATTTTAGGCTAATTCTTTTAATGCTGACAAAGGCATGTGGAACCAAATGATTAATCATTATATTGCATTCCTCTGTTTACTAGTGGAAGCTGCATGGAGTCTGAAAACAGAATTTCATATCTAAAAATATAGGCATGAAGAAACATATCTTGCTATTTCTCTGTTTATTCATTCGCATCTAGATGCAATTGGTATTCCATTGTTTGTAGCCTTGGGTACCAAATCTTCTTTGAAAATGGTTTAAAAAATATGGTCTTGCTAATTCTTTTATAAAAAAATTGTGTCACCTACCTAAATCTGCTGATAGCCTAATGCCTCAAACTGCTGATCTGCTTGTATAAAGAAATTAAGTCAATGCTGAATAAGATAAAAAAGTATAATTGCTAAGCTTTATTCTTTTGTTATTATCTTTTATTTTTCCCCATCTTCAGCTTGAAAACTAGTACAAGTGACATGAGTAGATGAACTGTAAGTATACCTAGCACATCAAATTTATTAGTGCCTATATGATGAATGATAGGTAGGTATTGTAACTACTGAAAAAAAAAAAGAAAAGAAGTTGGGCAGCACATCTAAGCAGGCTCAAAATGTTGTCATGTTTTTTCTTTTTTATATAAATTTTTATTATTTTTAATAGAGAAGCCAGGATTCTCTAAGAGATGACGAACCTGTAAATGAATTACCTGTCCCTTAGGAGTCCATATCATCATGGAGCAACAGCTGTGCTGGTTCTGATTTATTTACTGGGAGACTGTTGTGGTTCTTACTAAAAACACAGTTATAATTTGATTGGCTGGGTAGACTCGAACTGAAAGACAGGACTTGGAGTAGACTGAGTTGTGAATGATTGTCGTTAGGTTCAAGTCAATTCCCTAGTGCATTATGCTCAAAATATTTTATTGTCTTCCTTTAGATTCAAGTTGTCCATTCATTTGAAAGGATGCAGAAACTTGTAATTTTTTAACTTTGATTTGAACTTATGACCATTAAAAAAAAAAAAAAAAATCTAAATACAGACACTGCATTGATTTCTTCAGGTTCTGCTTGGATGATGCTCTCTCGCCCATTTATGGAGTTCTGTCTATGGGGTTGGGACAACCTCCCCAGGATAGTCCTGATGTATTACGCCAACTTTCTCTCTTCTCCTGAAGGATATTTCCACACAGTTATTTGCAACGCTGAAGAATTTCTAAACACCACTGTGAACCATGACCTTCATTTCATATCGTGGGATAACCCTCCCAAACAGCACCCACATTTCCTCACTGATGCTGACTTTCAGAGAATGGTCGATAGCAACGCCCCCTTTGCCCGAAAGTTCGGCAGAAATGAAGCAGTCCTGGACAAGATTGATTCTGAGCTTTTAGGCCGTGTTGCTGATGGGTTCGTGCCAGGTAGTTGGTTTGGTAACGGTGGCACAAACATAACTGCCCCAAATCACTTCATTGCAAATATAACTGAACTGAGACCGGGTCCTGGGGCTGAAAGGCTTGGAAAACTCATTACCAGTTTATTATCTGACAAGGATTTTGATGCAAAGCATTGCATCTAAAACCCAAGATGTGGTGATTGACTGCCTTGAAAGGCTCATATCGTCTAGTGAATAATTGATGAACTGATTACTGTTCCTCTGTTCAATCAATAATAGAGGATTGCTTATCAGACTACTATGGAGGCCCCAACCCCAGTAACTAAGGTAGATGAGAGATATAATACTTGTTGCGATATCTATGTTGGCGATATATACTTGTTGGGATATATTTGTTTCTTTCCATGGTGATGTAGATCAGTAGTGATGGTGCAATTAGGACTGTGCAAAAAGCCGTCCAATCTGCCCTGTTCGTCCGATCTGCTTCAATCCGCACCAAACTTTGTGGTTTAATAGGGTTGGTGTGTAGTGAGGATTCAAGCCTTTCTATGGAGCGGGTCGGTTTATATGCGGTTCAAAACTGTATCATGCAATTCAATGTATTGGTTGGGTCATGCAAAAGGGTATATAGTATTAGGTTGTCATGCTTTATCAATTTGTTGATTGCACTGTTTATGGCGTGAATAGTACTGAGAGCTGTTGATAAAATCATCTCTTGGTTTTGTTTACATTTTTTGGTAAAACACTGAAAATTTATATGGCAAATTGTTTTCGAAAATTGTTTCAGGATAAATTTTTCAGTAACAACCCAGTTTTGGGAAAATATCAAAATGTTGTTTTTGAATTTTTGAAAGTTATGAAAATTGTGTTTTCAAATATTTCTTTGTACATGCTAAAAAAAAAAAAAAAACGAAATGAATAGACATGAAAATGAAGACTTTTCAAACTGTTTTTATGATTATTATACGTTCTTATGCTATATTCCTCTTCTCGTACATTGTGTTTGAATTTCAAATTGGTGGAATAATACGTGTGAAAGGAAAAATAAAAAATAAAAGAAAAGTGAATACCTTGGATTTTTTTTATTATTAACTTTTTTCTCACTATTTTTTCTACAAATTCCCCAGCAAATTCAAGATCAATGGACATGTTCCCAAAAAATTTTAAAAAATAAAATAAAATAAGAAATGAAGAGAGGGTGCACTTCCTATGCAATTGAGATATATTGCATGAGAGGGTACACTTTCTATGAAATGAAATTATCTTCATGGCATTTGACTGTATGTTTAACCCAAAAAATGTAGTTGGGAATTAATGCCAAAAGCAAAGCACTACACCACAGCATGTGCATAATACAGATAGTTGGATCCAGAAAGAAAATGACTTCCTTTTATGCGTCTAGGAGGAAAGTCATTGCCAACATCATGATCTACAATCCTCTGCATTTCAAAAGCATCCTTGAAAGAAGCACTTTTCATTTCATGGTGCTAAATTCTCTCTCTCTCTCTCATCAAATCTTTTTGAAAAATTCCAAATTATCCTAAAAACTTGTTTAAAATCATTTTTGATGAAAAAAAAAAGACTATCTCCGATCATTACTCATTTTAAAATCTGAATAAAAATATGACCGATAGGGCACATTTTTTACTCTTTTTTTTTTTTTTTAAAATTTAAATTTTATAAAAAAAAATTGATGAAGGATTGAAGATGCTTAATTCTTGAAAATTTTGATTGACCTTGTTGCTAACAAATGTTAGGAAAAACAAATTGACCCAGTTGAGATGCATTGTCAAATGCCAAGAAACAATCAACACAGCTTGCAATGCTTAACAACAAAGGATTTCTACAGTGAACATCTATCAAGCCCATAGGTCAAGGTTATTATGGCTGTGTTTGAAGTAGGAACTAATTAATTTTTGACTAATGTTATATAAATTAATAAATTCTATAAATTTCTCTAACTTAAAGATGTGACACTTATTATAAATTGGGTCTTGTTTTATCTCTCAAAATTTTATTATTATATGACATATCAATTAGTAAGATTTGTTAGTTCCTAAAATATTTTTCTTAATTTTTTTTAAACAGAAACTTTAAAGTTGTGTTTGAATCATGGATTTGGGTAGAAATTTGGAAAGGGAAAAAAAAAGTAAGGGAAATACGAATGAAATATAGACTAAATTTTTTCTCCATTTTCTTTTCATTTTCTAAATCAATATCCAAATATAGTATAAAACTTTGCACGACCTTTAAATAGGATTTTAACACCATTCTTTCTTGCTTTTGCTATCATAGCCCTGAATTTTGAGACCATGTTTGTTGAGCTCCATGAGTGAAGGTATTAGATTAATAATTCAGTGATCCTCACATAAATCATGTTTGGTTAGCAAAATTGACATACGACTAATAGTTTCATGGGGGGTATGAATCCCCACATGGTGGTATTATCATTCCTGTGGAAGGTTGGGATTGCTAATCCATTTTTGCGGAATCGGAGGTGAAAAGATTATTTTGTCCTCCGCTTTACAAAAATAACATCACTTTTTCCATAATGAGAACTTTTATGCAATTCATAGATTTAATTCCAACCAATTAATACTACCACAAAAAACAAAATTTATCTTACATTTCCAACCACAACACTAGTAATTTCATCACTCACTCTCACTGTAATGGATGGTGTTCTAATAGCAAACGAGGTTGTTGGCTGGTGGAAAAGATCGAGGAAGAAAGGTTTGATTCTTAAGCTTGACTTCAAAAAAGCTTATGATTCAGTTAATTAGAATTTTTTGCTTGATATGCTTACCAAGTTTGGTTTTGGACCTAAATGGGTGAGCTGGATGAAGTCTTGCATCTCCACAGCCAGAATTTATGTGCTTGTGAATGGATCCCCATCATCAGAGTTTTGTCCTGAGAAAGGATTAAGGCAAGGTGATCTGCTCACCCCTTTCCTTATTAACATAGTGGCTGAAAGCTTAAACATTTTGCTTGAAACAGCAAGAAACCTGGGGTTGATTAAAGGTGTTACTTTTGGGTCTAATGGGCTGAAACTTTCTCACCTCCAATTTGCTGATGACACAATTGTGTTCTGTGAAGCTGGGTGGAGCTGGTGACTGTTAAGAGAATCCTAAGGTGTTTCAAAGTAATGTAAGGATTAAAGATCAATTATCACAAAAAGCATGATATGTGGAGTAGGTGTTTGAGCCGCAATTGCTACTGATTTTGCTGCAAAATTAAATTGCCTTACTCAATGTCTGCCAATTAAATATCTTGGTTTACCACTTGGGGCTAATCCTAAGAGGATGCACACTTGGAAATCTGAGCTTGAGAAGTTCAAGTGTAAACTTGCAACATGGAAGACAAAACTGCTCTCTTTTGTTGGAAGACTCACTTTGATAAAGTCAGTTCTCTCGTGCCTTCCAGTTTACTACTTGTCGATCTTTATGATGCCGGTAGGGGTTGCAACGGAAATCGATAAAATGCAAGCTGCATTCTTTTGGGGAGGGTCAGATTTAAAACGTAAAATTCATATGATAAGTTAGAGGGAGGTCTCTAAGAGTAAGGAACAAAGGGGTTTGGGTCTATTATTAGAATCTTATGATTTGCGATTCAATTCACGATTCGATTTGTAATTTTTGCAAAATTGATACGAATCTATAGGTGAATCTATTTTGGAAGTAAATCTCTAGTGAATCGCACGATTCATAAGCGATTCACAATTCAATTCACTTTTTACGATTCATGTAATTCTTAAAACTATCGTGTAGGACATATTTTTAACTCTTTTTTTCTCCATCCTTTAGTAAAAATGACATAATACAAATTTTAATAGCATTTAAAGCCAAAATAACCAATATATATACATGATTTGTTGTTATTTTAGTGATCATGAAGTTTTTAATAGGATCCAATCAGATTCAATCAGACTAATCATGTTTTTAATTTTTCTTCTCATTTTTTTTTCTTTTAAAAAATCACAATATATCTTTCTAAAATGTGTAAGATTAAAGTAACTTACACCATGAATTATCTATTGTTATTTTATTAAATTAAATATAGTTGAATATTACATGGGTGAGGTCAATTAGACATTTTAAAATGTTTTATGCTTTAAAAGAAAAGATCCTAAATAATTCTTTCTTGTTATTTGGTCATTGTTACTTGAAAAAGTGTATATGTTTATTGTCCAAATATCAATATCCTTGTCAAATTATTGTTACTTTAGAAATTGAGAGCTTGTCTTTGTTTACTATCTTTTATTAAGAATGGTTCATAAGAAATATCTAAAAAAAGGGAAAAGGTAATATGGTGATCTTACATAGAAACCTTTGTTAACTTATTACATATTAAAATACATGATCATTCAAAATAACATTTTCATTAATTTAAGTCTAAATATTTCATATTCATAAGGTATATTTAACATCGAAATGTATAGATATATTTTTCTAAGTAATTTAGAAAAAATGATCGAATCTTGACGATTCACGATTCGATTCGATTCGATTCGCGATTCGGTATGAGGCCATTTCGATTCACAATTCGAATCCCAATTTGACAAAGTATTAGGGATGTGAACATATGTTTACTTCTAAGGTGGTGGTGGAGATTTTGGTTGCGATGATAATGCTCTTTGGAAAAAAGTAGTGAGCAGTAAGTTTAATGTTGAGGGTGGAATCTCTCCAACTAACCATCTAAGTTTCAGTATTTGGCAGGATATAATCTCAATTGCTTTCTCTAATCCGAATCTGACAACTTTTATTTGGAAAATACTGAGATTGTTGTGGAGGATGGGACTAGAATTCATTTTTGGGAAGATAAATGGATTGGGAATCGAAGCCTAAAAGAGAAGTTTCCTAGATTGTTTAGCTTATCGACAGAAAAAGAGGGTACTCTCAGGTTGGTTGTTGATAAAAAGGTTAGCTATGGGAATTGGAATTTTGATTTCAGAAGAAATCTTTTCCAAATAAGAGTTACAGATTCAGATTAGATAAATGGATTGGGAATCGAAGACTAAAAGAGAAATTTCCTAGATTGTTTAGCTTATCGACAGAAAAAGAGGGTACTCTCAGGTTGATTGTTGAGAAAAGGGTTAGCTATGGGAATTGGAATTTTGATTTCAGAAGAGCTCTTTTCGTTTGGGAAATTGAGGAGGTTGATAGGTTATGAGAATTGTTAACCTCATGTCAGGCTCTGAGGGAGGTTTTGTTGATAGGCTAAAATGGAAAGCCTCAAATTCTGGCATATTCAGTGTTAAATCATCTTTTTTATGGTGTGATTCTGCATTTGGCCCAAAGTGCCGAGTTCCAAGGTTATGATGGAATAATGTTGCTCCTCCTAAAGTTCAGTTCTTGGCATGGCTTACTTGGAAGGGTAGGGTGAAGACTTCAGATTTTTTTGCAAAGGATTGAAGATTTGGACAGAAATGCAACTTTCAGCTGCTTGTTCTGCAAAGATGAGCTTGAAAATTTGAATCATGTTTTTTATTGTGTCCGTTTGCATGGAAGGTCTGGTCGAGCATGATCAATTGGTGGGGACTTCAGTGGGTAATTCCTAGTTCTGTCACTACCTTGCTGGTGTGGTGGTTGCAAATCAAATTCAAAAGGTTGGAAAGTCAAGTTTGGAAAGCCATTCCTGTTGCAGTGCTGTGGTTGGTATGGAAGCACAGAAATGATTGTCTCTTCAATGGAAAAAAAACCAAATCTGGTTGAGGTATGTGAGTTCATATAAGTGAGGGTTGCGATTTGGATGAAGACTTCTACAAAAGGATCGCATTATTCAGTGAATGACTTCATATATAATCTAGATCAAGTGAGATATTGCGCCAGGGGTAAGTAATTTCATGATTTGGTAATGGTGGATCTTGAACTGGAACTTGGATGCTGCTGGTTTATTTTTGCATTTGTTGTTATGCTCATGTTTGGGTAGAGCTGGACTGCTCTGCTGCTGTTGACAACAGAGGGAGCTGCTATGCTCAAGTTTGTTTGTTGCTGCTGTTTTGTTTTGGGTTGTCCTCTTGTCAACCTGTTTTTGCTTTGTTGGAAGTGCTTGCACATGATTTTTGTGAGCCTCTATATTGTGCCAAACTAGTTGGGATAAGTTTGGTTTTGCCACGATGCATTTATTTCACACTTCCTCTCTTTCCTTTATTGATGTAATATTTTGATCTCAATAATAAAAGGCTGCTTTCTTTTGCTGATCAGAAAAATTCTCACCATATTCATGATACCATCTAACCTAATCAGGCGAGGAAGGGGTTGCATTTCTCAGCTGTATGAATTCAATTCATAATTCGTATAAATCTTTCATGTATGTTAAAGAATGAACAATGACATTCAGATGTATAAATAAAGAAGAAAAGTGGTACTCTACAAATAAGAAAATGACTTCTAAATAAATTTACTCAACAAGATACATCATGTTAAATAAAGAATCAAGCAGTTCACATATCTCTTTTGACAGGGTATGAGAAAGATCACCTGCAAGAAACTCTTCAACAACACCATTCACCTCTATAACACTGCAACCCGGTTTCTTCTTCATTCTCGTCTCTGCAATAAATCTTCTGACTCTCCTTGCCTCCATTTCCCAGCCTGCTTCCCTGTAGATATTGTACGATAGCACATGCGTTCCACAATCCGATACTCCCATCCTAGCCAACTTTTTCCAAACTCTGTTTCCAATTTCAACATTTCCATACACTCTACAAGCACCCAATAGAGCTCCCCACACATTTGCATCTGCTCGTTCTATACCACCCATTTCCTCCTCTATAAACTTCTCGGCTTCCTTCAACATACCCGCTCTAGCCAAAAGGTCAACTACACAAGCATAATGCTCAAACTTGGGTTTGACCCCATAGAATGTACCCATTTGTTCAAACAATTTAAGGCCATCCTCAACCAACCTTGCGTGCGTGCAAGCGGTGAGAACAGCAACAAATGTGGTCTCTGTGGGTCGAGTACCATCAATTGTCATTTTGTCGAATAGATTGAGTAATTTTCTAGCATCTCCATTCATTGCAGCCCCGGAAATGATGGCATTCCATGCTCCAGCATCCTTATTAGGAATATCCTTGAACACTGATAATGCTGACTCCAAACAACCGCATTTTGAGTACATGTCAACCAACGCAGTGGCTAGTATTGGGTTGGATTCAAGATTGCACCGCTTAGCGTAGGAGTGGATCCACAATCCTTGTGCAAGAGCACCAAGGTGAGCACAAGCGGTCAGAACACTCACTAACACTGACTCATTTGGCTCTGTGCCCACTTCTTGCATCCATCTAAACAAACTGAGCACCTTTCTGAATTCATTAATCCGTGAGTAAGCTGCCATCATTGCACTCCAAGAGATCACATTTCTCTCGGGCATTACATCAAACAACGCTTGTGCCTTCTCAACATCCCCCATCTTCCCATACCCATCAATCATTGCGGTCCACAATACAACATCTCTTTCAGGAATTTTATCAAACAACATCCGTGCACTTTCCATTTCAAGATTTAAAGAATAAAATTCAATAAGCGCGGTAACAACAAAAGGGTCATGTGACAATCCAAATTTCACAACATGCCCATGAACTACACAACCAATTGGCTTCGAATAATTAGGTAAAAGACTCGAACAAGCTTTAATCAAAGGCGGAAAAGTGTAATTATTGGCGGGAAGGCCATAATTTAACATGTCAAGATAGCACAAGATGGCGGGAATTGGGAAACGAGCTTGAAGATATCCTCGAATCATGGTGTTGTATATGAAAATGTTTCTATAGAAAAGGTTTTGAAAAATTGAGCAGGCGTAGGAGAAGAAGGCGGCGTTGGTGGAGGTGGAGGTGGCGGCGAACGAGAGAAGAGGTCCGATGGCGATTGGGTTTTCAGGGAGGCGGGATTTGAGGAGGTGGGCATGGATTTGCTTGAGGTGGTTTAGAGTTTTGCATTTGTGTGAGAGAGATGTGAGGGTGTTGGTAGTGTAGGACTTAACGGTTTTTTGAATCATTTGAATAAAAAAAGGTGAAGATGCCGGGACATTTCTAGGGGACCAGTGAACGTATAGTGGCGAGGATGGTTAGAGAATCTATCACTGACTTTCCGAACAATTCTCTAAAAAAAAAATTTTAAAAAAAAAGAGAAGGATGACCGGGGGGAGCTGGGTTTGGAAAAGGAATAATCTTATGGTTGTTTAGACAGAGTGGATAAGAGGAGGATTGAATTGTTAATCTGAGAAGTCTCCATTATTTAGTTAAAAATGGTATGTTTTTCATATTTGTTTAGGGATTAAAAGTTGATTATTTTGGAAATTAATTTTTAATTTTTTTTTTAAAAATAAAAAATATTTGGAGGACAAAATTATCTTTTTAATAGTTAATTTAGAGGAGGGCTTGTCCACTCCTTTCCTAGGGCAAAATAGTCCCATATATAGACGTCCAACTTACAATTTTTTAGCCAAACAACGGACTACTCGATATCGTAGATATCGAGTCCAATTTCCCCTTTTAATCCCTCCAAACAAGCACCGTTTAAGAATACGAGAACTCACCGAATAGTTTGGATTGATTTGTGACAATGTTATGAAATGATTTTTCGTAAATTAGGTATTAAGGGATAATTCTTTGCTTAGATCAGCAAATTTTATGAGTTCAACTCATGGTTGACTCACAGATAGGTCATAAATTTCTAAAATAAGGGAAGTAATTGATATTTTAGAGAATAAAGGGTTGATAGTGTTATTTTAAAGATAATCAATCGGTGTGAGTGTAATTTACCCTTGTGCAGATGGTTAGACCAAAGGAGGCTCTAAATGCACTCCAAAATATTGGTTGTGTATCCCATAGAAAATTTTATTTCCACACATCATATTGTCTCTGTACATATCTTTTCTCACTCCACTCATTTAGTAATTTGATTCTTAGTTATTTATCTTAGTCTACACACCCTACATTCGAAATATACCCATTTAATAAAAAATGTGTGTATAAAACCGTAGATAACAAGTGTAAATGCTACAATAAAGGTTTATAAAAAAATAATACAGTATTAAATCACTCATTCAAAAGACTCAAAGTTATAATATATATTTGAAACATATGTATAATAACGTTACAAACAAAGACACATTTGAATCTAGAGTGTTGTGTATAGATGTAAAGTACATGTCGAGAGTGTTGTGAATCAAGAGTGTACTTTACATCTATACAAGAGTGTTGTGAATCAAATGGGTCTTTGATTGTTTTCTCTAATTGTTTGCTATGTTATTCCTTGCTCTGTTATTCATCCCTTCTCAACACAAATAGGTCTTCGAAAAGAGATCACATTTCTCTAGGGCATTACACCAAACAACGCTCATGCCTTCTGAACATCCCCCATCAATCATCGCAGTAAACAGTACAACGTCTCTTTCAGGAATTTTATCAAACAACATCCGTGCACTTCTCATTTCAAGATTTAATGAATAAAATTCAATAAGCGCGGGAACAACAAAGGGTCATGTTACAATCGAAATTTCACAACATGACCATGAACTACACAACCAATTGGCTTCGAATAATTAGGTAAAAGACTTGTACAAGCTTTGATCGAAGGCGGAAAAGTGTAGTTATTGGTGGTAAGGCCATAATTTAACATGTCAAGATAGCACAAGATGGCGGGAATTGGGAAATGAGCTTGAAGATAGCCTCTAATCATGGTGTTGTAGATGAAGGTGTTTCTATAAAAAAAGGTTTTGAAAAATTTAGCAGGCGTAGGAGAAGAAGGCGGTGTTGGTGGAGGTGGAGGTGGAGGTGGCGGCGAAGGAGAGAAGAGGTCCAATGGCGATTGGGTTTTCAGGGCGGCGGGATTTGAGGAGGTGGGCGTGAATTTGCTTGAGGTGGTTTAGAGTTTTGCATTTGTGTGAGAGAGATGTGAGGGTGTTGGTTGTGTAGGACTTAACGGTTTTTTGAATCATTTGAATAAAAAAAGGTGAAGATGGCGGGACATTTCTACGCGACCAGAGATAACGTATACTGGCGAGGATGGTTAGAGAATCTATCACTGACTTTCCGAACAATTCTCTAAAAAAAAAAAATTAAAAAAAAAAAAATGAACAGAAGAGAGAAAAGAGAAGGATGACCGGGAGGAGCTGGGTTTGGAAAAGGAATAATCTTATGGTTGTTTAGACAGAGTGGATAAGAGGAGGATTGTATTATTAATCTGAGAAGTCTTCATTATTTAGTTAAAAATGGTATGTTTTTCATAGTTGTTTAGGGATTAAAAGTCAATTATTTTGGAAATTAATTTTTAATTATTTTTTAAAAAATAAAAAATATTTGGAGGGCAAAATTATCTTTTTAATAGTTAATTTAGAGGAGGGCTTGTCCACTCCTTCCCTAGGACAGAATAGTCCCATATATAGACGTCCAACTTACAATTTTTTAGCCAAACAACATACTACTCGATAGGGTAGATATTGAGTCCAATTTCTCCTTTTAATCCCTCCAAACAAACACCTTTTAAGAATACGAGAACTTACCGAATAGTTTGGATTGATTTGTGACAATGTTACAAAGGCATGAAATGATTTTTTGTAAATTAGGTATTAAGGGATAATTCTTTGCTTAGATCAGCAAATTTTATGAGTTCAACTCATGGTTGACTCACATATAGGTCATAAATTTCTAAAATAAGGGAAGTAATTGATATTTTAGAGAATAAAGGGTTGATAGTGTTATTTTAAAGATAATCAATCAGTGTGAGTGTAATTTACCCTAGTGCAGATGGTCTAAATGCACTCCAAAATATTGGTTGTGTATCCCATAAAAATTTTATATCCACACATCTCATTGTCTCTGTACATATCTTTTCTCACTCTACTCATTTAGTAATTTGATTCTTAGATATTTATCTTAGTCTACATACCCTACATTCGAAATATACCCATTTAATAAAAAACGTGTGTATAAAACCGTAGAGAACAAGTGTAAATGCTATAATAAAGGTTTATAAAAAAATAATACAGTATTAAATCACTCATTCAAAACACTCAAAGCTATAATATATATTTGAAACATATATATAATAACGTTACAATCAAAGACACATTTGAATCTAGAGTGTTGTGTATAGATGTAAAGTACATGTCGAGAGTGTTGTGAATCAAGAGTGTACTTTACATCTATACAAGAGTGTTGTGAATCAAATGGGTCTTTGATTGTTTTCTCTGATTGTTTGCTATGGTATTCCTTGCTCTGTTATTCATCCATTCTCAACACAAATAGGTCTTTGAACAATCATCTCTTATTTGCTCCTATTCGATTCTTTGCTCTTGAGTGATTCAAATGTGTTGTGAATCAGGTACTTTACATCTATACAAATGGGTCTTAGAACAATCATCCACTCTTTGCTCTGAATCAATTGTACCCATTCAAGAGTATTGTGAATCAAGAGTGTTATGTATGCATATCTGTCGAGAAAGAATCGAACAAATGGGAATAACAGAGCAAAGAAGGGAAGAACTATGAAATCTTCATATTCTGGGTACGATTCTTGTTCCCAATCAATGAAACGCACCAACTCAGTTAGACTCATTACAGCAGATCGAATCGAGAGGACAGTACATGTGTACCGAGACCTTTTACAAGAAAACAAATGTGATAACCCTGGTCCGTATTATGCTAATTAATCTTAATTATGATTGTGATTATGTGTTTGATATGATTTTGAGTGTCATTTATAGGAATATATGTGGTTTTGAATTTCTATCTGTTCACCGTAGGAAAATCTGTTTGATTTTCTGCTTTAGAAATTAAATTGAAGGCCTTATCGGCCACAAAACCCGAAATTGATTACGCCATTGTGATTAACGTAATTTTTAGAGCCTACGGTGAAATTTAATTGAAAACTGATTCGGATCAAAATAATTAAATTCAAAACGATTAATTAAGTGCCATTAATTAGCCATAATCAAATTTGATTAGACACACACACACACACACACACACATATATATATATATATATATGTAAGGGCCTTATTACACTTAATTCCTCCTCTTTTAAGTCATTTGGTTGAGATCAACTCTCTAGAGAAAGAGAGAACCGACTTTGAGAGAGGGAGAAGGCATCCTTGTGCATTTTGGCTCAAGATTTGTGAATTGGGAAGGCTAGGTTCAAGATTCAACCACAATTGTGAGAATTAAAGCTCCTAGGTGAGTAATCAACCCTTAACTCATGGGTTTGAGTTTGTAATTAAGTAAATTCAAAGAGAATAAGTGATCAAGAACAAGAATTGTGTTGTAATTGATGAGTTTGAAGTCATGGAATGCATGCATGTGAATAATTGCCATGAATTTGTATAATTAAGCATGAGAAGTATGATCCATGTAGAATTTTGGTTAAAGTCCATGCTTGTGATCACCATTTGCACCATTTAAGTTGAAAATGGGAGTTATATCTCACATGCATGTACAATTCATAAGAGTATGAGTTTTGAATGCATGAATTTGTTATGTGGAAAGGAGTTTGGTGTAATTTGGAGCATGCATGTATTTGATTCATGGGATTTGAGCTTCTCAATGTTGTAATTTGGTGTTTATATTATGTTAGTATATGTATATGAGAAATATGGGCTGTAAAATGCAAGAAATACCAACTTGAATGCATGATTGAAGCTCAAAGGGAATTCTGGAAAACCCAGAATTCATGAAGTACACTCGAGCGGGGGAACCGCCGCTCGAGCAGGAAATACGAGCTCCCAGAACTTTTTACAGACATGGATGTTCGCTCGAGCGGGAAAGTTCACACTCGAGAGGGGAGCTATGTAGAGTGACTTTTAACTTGAGCGTTCGAATTCACGCTGGAGCGTAAAAATAAGGCAACCAGTACTTTTACAGACCTAATGGGTCCGCTCGAGCAGGAAAATCCACGCTCGAGCAGGGACCCCTGTCTTAGAAATTTTGTAAAAGTGTTCTATGTTTCGTTTTCCGTTCTCTTTCATTTCTAAGCACTCTTAGGCATGCATTGAGCA